CCCCAAAACCCCAAAACCCCAAAACCCCTTGATAACTTTTTACTGGTAATATATAAAAAAGCTTATTAATTCTATTTCTCATCATTGTGATTTTCATTTATATAAAATAATAAGCTACAAAAGAATGTAATTAATAAGATAGTGCAAAACAGGAAAAAAATAAATGAAAGCATAAAAATCACCAGTTCTTCTTAAAGAAACGATAAGCTCATCAGATCGTAATTGCTTAACTCCTGATCAGTAGGTTTCTGCTTTGTTGCAAACCTAAAGCAAGAGATTTTCTATGAAAAAGCGTTAGAAAAAAGAAAAGCTCAAAGCATCGGTAAAGAAATCTCTCAATTTTGATGGAATTAAACATTTTAAACAGGAATAAAAAAATGGTAATGCCAAAACCAGCTAAAAAAGTCATGAAAAATCCCTCAGTGATGAAGACTCCTCATTAAATGACGACTCTCAGAACCCTTTATCAAAGAGAGTTAGAAAAAATAGAGATCAAATTAAGGCGCTTCACATTGCATTTGAGAAATCAGGCGGCAACTGGTCAAAAGATGATTAAACTTAATTGGCAAGGCAGCTTGGCCTTAATGAATAATAAGTATATAAATGGAGCTGGGACCAGATGTAAAAAAGAAGAAAGCTACAAGAATATAAGAATTCATCAGAATACGCCTAATTAAAATAACAAGCAAATACAGATGAATTCGGTGGTTACTCTAAAACTTGGCTCTCAAAAGGTGGAATATCCTCTGCCTCCGAGAGGAAAATGAGTGATGATTTTGAGGGCTTAGATAGCATTTCTTCTCTGATCGGCATCGATATCGAACAAAAGGCAAAAGACATAGTCTCCAAAAAATCTCCAGATGGGCACTCGAAAAGATAAATAGCTAAACCAATAAATCCAAATCCTTTTAGTATCATTCCAGAGTTTAAGAGGCCAGACGAAATCTCAGTACCCATTCCTCGAAGGTCTACCAGAAATTCAAATTATTCAGAAATAAAACCGTAGCAAGAATAATCTAAAGATAAAACAGCCCAAAATATTACACACTAGGACGATTAGGATGCTTCTCTGTTGAAATAGCTCGAGAAAAATCTTCCATATCACCATCAAATTTCCCTTGCTATGTTCAAATAAATAAGTCAAACATTTTCAAATAAATCTACACCGAATATCAATGATAAACCTATGATTGGTGGAACTGACCTCAACAATCACTAGTCCATACTAAATCTAATTAACAACTGTTCAATTCAATCACCATTCTAATTCAAGCAGCCATTTGGAATGAACTATCTCAACCTCAAAAGCTAGCCTACAGAGGAGGACAATAAAAATAAGAAGATATCAATGGCCTTCTAAAATTTATTTGATGATCCTCAGCTACCCTCAAATGATGAGGATGAGATTGAAGAAAAGCCTCTTATCATGTAAAAGTAGAGCTCCTATAAATTGAATTCTATCATTTCACCGATAAATTTTTTGAATCCCATGGCTATAAGTTACTATGAATCACAATAGAATGCATTTTCAAATACTCTCAGCGGATAGATAAGATAGAACCCATTTTAACAGACACCAATGCAAATGCATTAATTAAATAGTGCGATGAGTCAAAAGCTATTTGTAATGACTCCCTCGCCAAACATAAGGAAGCCCTTTACTTTCCCTTGAAGTATCCAGGAAGAGACTATGAACACATCAGATACATAGAAATGAGTATAAACACTCTCAAATTTATATGAATACATAAAATTATAAGTTTAAAGTGATGATATTTATCTTTAAAGTATTAATACCTTTCCCACATTCTAACTTATTATATTCAAGACTACTCATTAAATCTGGTCATTTTATCTCTTACGCAATTTACCATTAGTTTGAATATTTAACTAAGGGGTTTTGGGGTTTTGGGG